TAATGTCAGAGTTGATTATTAAAAATCTATTTGCATTACTATCAGAAGCATAGCCAATAAAAATTCCATCTACAGTTTTAGGTCCAATTTTCTTTCTCTTATTTTCAGGTATTTTAACTTTTGCTAAGCACCCCCACACTTTCAGGTGATCCAAATTAGGGTTTCTATTCTTCCAAATTGTGTAAGGGGTTTTATCAGATTTCTTGAATAAAATTCTATTTATTATATGACATGCAGTCATGAGAGCTTCTCCCCACAAATTTTCTGGCACACCAGAATTAATTAACATTGAGTTTACCATGTCCATTAGTGTTCTATTCTTTCTCTCAGCTACTCCATTAGATTGATGTGTATATGGAGCTGTTATTTCATGAATAACTCCATTCTCTTCACAGAATTGTTTTAATTCATTAGAAGTGTACTCACCACCTCTATCTGATCTTAGTATTTTAATTTTCCTATCCAACTGATTCTCAACTTCTGCTTTGTATATTTTGAATTTGTTTATGACTTCATCTTTAGTCTTAATTAAGTAGAGGTAACAATATTTAGAGCAATCGACCGCCGATCTGTCTGCGTGTTTTTCTGAGCTTTTGATTCCAGCTTTCATCTCGAACTTTGGGTCTACACCTTAGACTAACATTTTGATCATTCTTTACAAAGCCGAACAGAACAAAAAATGAACGTAAACCGAACCAAACAGAACCGCATTGTTTCAGTTGTTTCAGTTTGATTCGATTAGTTATTTTGGTTTCTATAGTACTCTAATACCGACCTGTAGCATATGGCTGAGCGCACCTGAAAAAGTGGCATAATCGTTGGTGTAGACGTAAATTGTACTTGAAAAATCAAATAAAAGAGAACTCAAGCAGAGTTGAGAAAAGAGAAGATCGATGAAGAACAAGAGACTGAACAGCAGTGAAGTGGATGATTAAACTCATTAAAGAAGGGAGAGAAACTTCTTTAAAAAAAAGGAGAAATTATTTGTAGAGATTAAAACTCAAGTCCTTCATCGCATAACAACCCCCCCCCCCCCACCAACACTCCACTTCTCCCCCCCACCCAAAAAAAAAGAAAAAAAAGGAAAAAAATAAAGCCAAAGGCTGGAAACTCCTTGCACCCAAAGAATGATTTAGTTAATCCCTCAAGACCACTTTATACCTCATTCCTCTTTTTTCTTTCTCATTTTATAAAACTCCAGAGGAGGTTTGGTCCGGTAAGCCTGCAGATTATTCTAATCTTAGAATATTTGATTGCCATGCATATGTGCATGTTAGTCAAGGAAAACTTGAGCCGCGAGCAAAGAAGTGCATATTCCTAGGTTATGCATCAGGTGTTAAGGGTTTTAGATTGTGGTGTCCCGATTCAAAGTCTCCTAAGATTAGTATTAGCCATGATATTACTTTTGATGAATCTGCTATGTTCCACCAGAAACGATCATCGATTTTAGTTGTTTATAAGGTGCGCACTACAAGACATAAGGTGGAGTTAGAAATTCATAATTTAGCTCTTCAGTAGGATAAGACTACGGGAATTCAGTAGTCAGATCACATTCAAGTAGATGAAGCACCTCAGCAGGTACAGGAAGAGAGGGAATACACTATTGCTAGAGATCGGTCTAGACGAGATATTCGACCACCGCGAAGATATGAAGATACGGTAGCTTATGCATTGTGGGTTGACAATTTTGTGCCCTTCAGCTATTCAGAAGCTACTTCAGGTGATGACTTCGTTAATATTTACGATCGTCGTGCGGACAATTCAGTCGATTTGTTGAGGAGGCATCTTTCAGTTAGCAAGTTCAAGCCAAGATTGGACTTGATCGATATATGCCGCACTTAGATGCTCTGCGGGGCTATTGGAGAAGGTGGAGTAAGATAGCTTATTTTGGAGTGAGGAATCTTTTACGCATTTAAGTCAAGGTGGAGATTTATTATAGGTTGCCTCAAATACTCAAATCCGTATTGCTTTGAGAGTTTCTTTTTTTAACTTGGTTTGTTTTGATCAAGAGTTCTACTTATATTAGACTTTACAAAACCAATCATATTAGAGGTGTATTCCTACTTAGACTCTTGTTGGGTTTTAGGATATGTGGACTTCTATTCCTATTAGAACTTTTATTCCGTAGACAGCAAGGAGTTGGGACCTTCAAGGTTATATAAGAACAGTCTTTCAAGCCAATTAGATTCATCAATCTTCATAGCACCAATCAAGAAGAGAGAGTTCTTTTGTGAAGTTTATTTGATATCTTCTCTTTTGTTCCTTTTATTTAGAGAGATTATACGGGAATTTTAGGGTGATATTTGGGATTGAGAGATTGAGAGATTCCACTTTGTATTCCTCACAATTAATAAAGCTTTTCTCCTCCTTTGCCCGTGGACGTAGGCTACAAGCTGAACCACGTATATTTTTGTGTTCGTGCGTTCTTGATATTTTTCATGCTCTCGTGTGATTGATATTAGCTTATCCTGGGAAATTTGTCATAACAGGTACGATAAGGTTTAATGAAGGACATACCATTTTTGTTTTTTGTTGGGTTTGAGGGAGGGTGAGGGGAGATATACAACTTTTTCTTATTTGGTTGAGGGGTGGGAAGGGGAGGTGAGGTGATGAATTATTAAAAGTATAATAATACACTTTTGTGAAGTGTTTCTAGACGGGTTTTTATATGAAAATCTCCTTAGTTTTAGTCTAAATTGAAACTTATCACCTTTAATTTATTATTTTCTAAAATAAACCATCTATATTTGCTTACATATTCTCAATGTCACACTTTTTTACTGTTCACCATAAAAACCCAGAAAATTTCCATTTTATGCTAACCCTCTTCTCTCCTTCATCTTCTTTCACAAACCATAACCGTAGCCTCCTCATCCTCCCTCTCCCTCTTCTCCTCGCTCCCCTCCCCCCTCTCCTCCTCCCTCCTCCTCCCCGAGCTCTCACTCTCCCATCCTCCCCAAGTGAGGACTAGGATTAGGGTAAGGGATAGGGTTTCGGGGGAGGTGGTGGTCATGGGGGGCAGCGATGATGTTTACGGTGGGGTTTTAGAGAGGATTAAGGAGGGAAGGAAAAGAGAAGGATGAAGAGGTGAGGTTTAGAGCTTGGGAAGAGAGGAGATGGAGAGATAAGAAGCTGAATATGGCAATATGACCTTTCAGGAGTGAACAATAGTAGAAAGTGTAACATTAAGAAGATGTAAGCAAATGTAGGTGATTTACATTAAAAAATTAAAGGCGTAAGTATCAATTTGAACTAAATTTAAGGTGATTTTGATGTAAAACCCCTTTCTAGAATTATATTAATAATATTGTATTTGGTTCATTAAAACAAGAGATTAAATAAATAAAAAGAAAAAAAAAATCACATTATCTATGACTTATGGAAACAAAAGAGAATGAAATTAAAGAAAAAAATTGTTTCACTATATGATAGCTGTTTTTGGATAAATGATAATATAGCTAATTAGATAATTATGATATATATATATATATATATATATATAAAAGAATACAAGAGCAATTTTAAGATAAATCTTGTCAATCCCCCTTCCCTTTGTGTCCTGCCAAGTCTGAGGGATTTTCTCTCTCCTCGCATCCAAGTTTATTATTATTATTATTATTTGCATTTACTGTCTTTACCTCACTCTACTCAACCTCACTTATATTTCTAAAACCTTCTTATCAAAGGAGAATTTTGATTTTATCATTTCTCCTAATTTACTCTACTTTCCCTCCCACCAAACCAAGCCTTATGCTATGTTTGGAAGTTTACTAATTGAAGGGAAGGGAAAGAAGGAAAGGGGAAGTAAGGCAAAAGAAAGTAACGAAAGAGATAGAAAATATAATAATCATGTTTGGGAGTTTAGTAAGGAGAATGGAGAGGAATCATTTATTAGCCATTGAATTTTTAACACGATGGTCTAAAATCATTTACTCTCGGGCGTGGGAGCAAATTATATAGAATAGAGATTGACGGATGTAAACTTTGTTCCCCTCCATTCCCTTTAAAAATAACTCCAAATAAGATGAATCTATTTATCTTCCATCCTCTAAGTCTCCTTTAGCCCCCCATCGATCCAAACAAATCTAGAGAAACAAATATTAATGGAACACAGCTAACATATGCCTCAACTTCTCGAAGATCAGGTTAAAAATAGCGTGACCATAAACTGAACTAATCCCGAAATATCATAAATAAGAAGATCCTGACAAGGTTGACACGTCATTCCTCCTACAAAAGAAAAACAAATTTTCTGTAAATCCGTAGGTGAAAGAGGGGAAAAAAACCCTATTATCATAACTCTTATTTGAGCAGTGCTAAAATTTTCTGCTCAAACAAATCTTTTGCAGCATCATCCACTCGGTAGAATAAACAATACTAATTTATCAAAGCACAAAAGTTTAGCCATTGGAAAGAAGAGAAAGAGTTTTGATGTATAATAACAGCATAGAAGGGGTTAAGTGATGGGGAAGTTAGAAGGACGGAGGGCATAATTGGATGTTATTAAATGAGATAATGGTATAATTAAATGTTAACAAGGAATAAGGCAAATGGACAATCCAAAGTTTTCCATATTAAGTATGTATGCATGTATCGTGATGTATGTATGCTTTACAATGAAGATATACAAATTTTATATCTATCCATATATTCTATATTTACATTTATTGCTTTTTACTTATTACATATACTCAAATTTATTACTTATATTGATTGAGGGATTGCCATGTCGACCCTTCTGATTGAGAGGGTAAAAGAGGCAATCAAAAGTTTTGACATAGCAATCCTCTTCTATTTACTAGTTGGATTGCACGTGCAATGCACGTGATAATTTTTTTATTATTTATTTTAAATTTATAATTTTATTTAGGAAAAGATTTGTTATTAAATTATTGAATGTAAGCAATGGATGAAACATATAGACATAAGCTAAAAATTCGTTATTTGAACAATGAAATTACATTTAGTGATTGATTGAATGATAGTACACACGCAACCTGTTATCTTTGACTAAATCTCAGCATACACAAAACAAGCTTCTTACAAATGACATGTACATGTTATGGAATGATCTTACTATGAGCTCGATGAATCATGACTCGTTCATTCTTGGGATCAGGACTAAAATGTTGATAATAGTGCTCAGGGCCGGTCCTGAGCATTCGGGGGCCCTAGGCAAAAATTTGTACAAAAATCCTAAAGGGGCCCTCCTACAGTCAATATTTTCTGGCTCAAGTACTACTCGACTCTCTACAACTTCGGCAGAGTGGGCCGAGTGGCGAGTCCGATCGGGGCCAGAGCCGGCCTATACACGAAAAATAAATCCGTCTGAATCCTCTCGTGTTTCTTCCTTTCAATTAGAAACACTGAATTTGACATTGAACAGTAACAAAATTAATCGTGTTTGACAAAATTAACAACAAATATCGAAACAAAACCCAAAAAATTGAAAGGAATGGCTCACATGAAAGTTTAGAAGGATTAATTTTAGAACGTTAAAGTGCAATTTTCACTCTAAAAAAAAGGAGAAGTTGACAGAAAACAAAGGTTTTAATATTCAGAATTAAGGATTACCCACCAGCTAGCTGAACCAATCAAAATGTTCAAACTTTGACAACAGAGAATAAAAATTGATAAACTTTTAGAAAAGTACCGTCATCTTCAAGAAGCAAAGATTACCCATCAATCCAAACCCAAAAAAGATTCAAACTTTGACGGAAAAAAAAAGATCAAAACTCAAAAGCGTAAGAGACGTACGAAATTGCCAGCTCCAAGTTCGGGGCTTACCGCTACATACTCAACGTTCAGGTCGCCGGGCATTTTAAGAGATTCATTCTGTGGTCCTGTGGACTTGATTATGAAAAGCTTCCTTGAATGGGGGGCAATTCTTTGAGACTTGAATTGTGATCTGGGAAAGTGGGAATTAATTAATAAAAGATTTGACCGTTTGAGCTGTGAGTGTAAGGATGCCAGCTGATGGACGGGACTTACTTTGATTTTATTAGACTTTGATGGGCTTCTATGTAAGGATGCCAGCTATTTTTCGGGGCCCCTATTTTTTGGGGGCCCCAGGCGAACGCCTCACCCGCCTATGCTATAGGCCGGCTCTGATAGTGCTATCATTTCTCTCTCTCGTCTATCAATTTAGATAGTCTGATAAAACTTTCTTCACGCTAAATCCCTGATTATGACCTTTTCTGATGCTGAAAGGTGTTTTCTCTCCACAAGCAAGGCTAATCAATGGAACCGGTGAGAAGCTTGGAGTTCCGTAAGCAGTAGCATAAGGAGTGCTAAAGATTAAAATTGAACAAGGGATCATGGCATTTTTCTGATCAGAATGCTTACTTAAGTCATCAACATATAGGAGATCATTAATTCGAGCAACAATGTTGAATGCAAGACTCTCGAAGACTCTGGTTGTACTTTCCAATATCCTGGAAGTACAAGTCTTAGTTACAAGGAAAATTGAATTATGTAAAGGTGAGAAATTTGATGAGGAAAAGCAAAAACCTTGTTGAATTGAATTTGGCACATGTCTAATATGGTTTGTGTAAGGCCAAGAAATCTCTGCTTCAGGCATATTAAGAGACTCTCAGCTCTATCAGCCAACAACTCCCTTTTCTCGGCATTGGTTTTAGACTTTGTTGTTGTTCTTCGACGCCATATATAAAGGGACTCTTCTACACGATTGGCTATCTCTAGAGCTTGGTGCTCATAGGAGATTTCAAAGCAATCTAGGAGGCACTCAGGCGAGAATTGATCAGAGGTAATGTATTTGTAAATTACATCACCTATGCTTTCTCTTGCATTCTAAAGTTTAAAATGAAAGCCAGTTTCAAATTTATGAATATAATGTTAGTATGTAATTTCTCGGAGATCGGACCTTAGGTAATGAGTCAATAAAGGACCCTGGCACTTCCAGTTCAGCTTAAGCATTGCTGTTAATGGCCATTGTGTGTTTCAAGATTTGGTTTGTGCATTCGCGTTTGTGATGTAGTTGCTTTCTTAAGGTCTCTTGAAGGCCTCTAGCAGGAACATGGGGTACAGGCAGCAACCATTTCTCCTCATGACGTTGAAACTGCATCCTGAAAGAGGCTGAGCCATTGGTTTCTGGTGCTAATATCCCTTGATCAACATACCAAAATTCCTGATCATGAAAACTATCCAATATTTCCTGTAAAAGAGAATTTTTTGTTTATAAAAGATTATACAACTCAAATTTTACCTAAATAGTCTTTATTATCAAGACTTACAAGGAGCATATGGGTATAACCTTGTTGCTTGAATTAAAAGTGCTTTGCTTGTGTCATTAGAAAACAAAAGAAAAATAGAGCATATTCATGCTTGGTTATATCAGAATTTCACTTATAAGCGGATTTCATGGTTAATAGGTAATCACAACATACTATATTAACCAGAATGTTACAATATGGTTGGTCAGATAGAAGTTTAGGCAGTAGCATGCCCCAGATATTATGTAATTTCACCTTACAGCATCTGAAAGCAACAACAGGTTGTTAATTTCTTGAAAGAGGATGCAACCAATCATAGAGATGGAATTTCTTGAACTATAAAAGAGCTTCAGTTGTATCATTAGTAAATAAAAGAAAAATAGATCATACTCATGCTTGATTATATCAGAAATTTAGTACGCTGATTTCAAGGTTAATAGGTAAGGGCAACTTACTATATTAACCAGAAGTTTACAATATGTCCTGCCAAGTAAAATTTTAGCTAGCAGCGTGCCCCAGATATTATGTAACTGCACTTTACAAGCAATATCTCGTGGTAGATATTTTTTGGCCAATGTAAAAAACTTAACTAATTGATCATAGAACCTACGAGAAGTTGTAGTTTTTACCCTTGGTTTGCTGATCCAAACAGTATTCCTACAAAGTTTGATGATTAGCATAACTAAAAATCATAACAAGTCCATTGCAAGAAGTTGGATGCTCAAGATAACTTTTCAAGCATCCTTATGACATAAAAAATAATTAAAGTGAATCAAAATGCTTACCAAACTATTTGTGAAAATAACAGACTTTGTCATAGGGATCTGGCATATCGTAAATTATTGGCTGACAAATACAGAAATCTTTTCAAATTCTAATCATCACTTAACAGGTTCTACGAAAAGTTACTATAAATTATATCCAACTTAGCTATTTCTATACACACTCTCGAGGTGCTAAAAGCATTATAAACAAACTGCTCGACCTATCCAACACGATCCAAAAGCTGATTCAGTAGGAAATGATGCTAGATTTCTTTCCAAAGAATAATTATCATAACAATGCAGGTGATGTATTTCCTAATTATAACCAATTCCAAACAAAATAAACCTATAACTACGAATCAAACAATGAAGAAGCACATAATTGCGATTAAAACCCTATAACTATGGTAGAAAAATTATAATATTCGAGGGAAAAAGGGCAGTAATTTTATCTTAGTCAAACTCAATGAGAGTCTCAAATCACAGTCCTACCTCCCTTCTAAGCAAGTAGACACATATGTTACGCAATAGTTGAAAAAACGTGAAGTAGCCAAGGGAGTTTCATTAATACAAATCACTACAGGTCTAGAAGCAGTTATTAAAAATACTCCTATGACCAAGAAAAATTGGTTATGTTACAAAATGATGCAGAGAATTGTAACAAACAAAACACCCTAGAGACCTTCATTTCCCATGGTAACATCGAATAACACTACTCAAAAATCAAATAATTAGTTACATTATGAATTGGTTTGTTTGAACACTAAAATTCTCACACACATAAGTTGTAGCAAAGAGGTGATGTGCACACACGTAATAAGACCCCAAAAAGGTTCGCTTCTGAAAAACATTCTAGCATTATTTCATAGGAGAAAGCGATGACTGATTTGAGTTGGCTGCAAGCATACTAAAATAAAACACATATCTAACTTTTTTGGTTGATTAAAACTAACGCAAAATTCCTTTTATTGAAACAAGCATGTTATATAAAAGATGTAAATTTGCAGTCTTTAATCTCTTGGGAAGTTGGGATTTCTGGTAATTGGAAAGCTTCTTTCAGTACATAACTTTTTCCACACTCTATAGATATTGATCCTGAGGATGAAAAGCCAGCAACCTTATTAGTATTTCTATAAGCAGTTTACTTTGTTCTATATAAGTCAACAATTTCTTCCAAGGATGATTTATGTAATTTTATTTGCTTATATTTAGGACATATTAAATAATTAAAATTAGAGAGAAAAATATCATAGTAATACTTGTAAAATTTCTATCTGATTTTTACCATTACTTAAGCCCTCATAACCCCATCCATTGTTATAATCTATTAGATGTTTTCCCTATATGGTATAAAATATTGCTCTAAATCAAGAGCAATGGGCTTCATGTATCTTCCTGAAGCTAAAATTAGATTTTTTTAGCAGTTTAGTCTTATTTATGAGGAATTAGAATTTCATTAAAATGCATAAGCCACCACTAAGTCTTATGTAATTAGGAAAGGACGATTCGGGTACTTGTATGACTTTGACTTTAGAGTGGTTTAAGGAATTAGCGTATAAAGTAATGAAAGGTTCTTCTATGACATTGACATTAAAGTGGGTTAAGTAATTAACATATAAAGTTATGAAAGAAATGATCTGTTCTTGACTAAATTGAGTTAATGTGTTTATTAGTCTCATTTTTAAGTAATTAACATATAAAGTTATGAAAGAAATGATTTGTTATTGACTAAATTGAGTTAATGTGTTTAATAGTCTCATTTTTTTGTATCTTTACCATATCTGCATTTTGTTTTTTTATCCCTAGAGGCACAGTTTCTGCTCTAGTAATTAAAGAACATTCTTACTTACCAGTATATTGTTACATTTAGCTAATCTTCTCATACTATAGTTGATTTCTAGGTCTCCAGATTTTAGTAATAATTGTAGAAAAATATCTTGGAGAGGAACAAGGTAAGTCTTAGCATATATAACTATAATTGTACCCGTCGAACTGTAGGAAACAGAATATCATCATGCCTGGAAAATTAGAGATTGAACTGATGGCGGAACTCATATATACAGTATTTCCCTACCAATCTAACAAAGAAATGCTTGAATATAAAGTTTAAAGCATGGAAATCAACCTGATGGATTCAAGCACCTTCAACTAAATGCGTGTCATATTCCTCAAGCATTTCATACAACATTAAAAAGACCTTCCATCTATATCATGGGCACGATATGCTATAGCTAACTACGTCCGCTGAAAGTTTTGGTATTCACTTCATCACTGGCATGTAGTTTTCCTAGAATATATTTCAAGTGGAAATTTTTAATAGGTTCGGGAATCCATTATGCATTTGTAGGTTTTTCTCCAAAAGTGAAGTCTAAAAATCCCTAGAAATATGCATGATGGTCAAAGTCATTATTTGAAGACCAAATCATAAACAAGCACAGAGACTACCATAAAAGATAGAAGTAAACTCTAGAAGAACAATTTGAAGACCAAATCATAAACAAGCACAGAGACTACCATAAAAGATAGAAGTAAACTCTAGAAGAACACCAAATATTTCAAGTTCTTTATTGCAAGTTCTCTGCACTGTCCTTTATGCTCTCACAGTAGTTGCAATTTTGTCATATTTTGAGTTTTCCTAGCATTTCAAATGAAATGAAGCACAATATCGGTATCGATCATAAGGATTTCATCCATATCATCGATCATCGTCACAACATATCAAGGATAAAAGACCTTGGTTAGCTCTTAGCACTTGTTCTAGTGTGTGTATCTGCTTATTCACCGGTTTAGCATTTGTATTGTCTTGTTCGTCCTGATATATTGATATATTCATTGAAGGATGTTAAGGGTCGAGTTTTCTTGATTTACAGTGTGAGACCTTAACCAATTACCATTTATGTAAAGAGGTTTTCTGCCAGAAAAAAATTTAAATTGTCTTAGCCTGCCATTGTTCCGAGGTATGAAAGGTTTCTTTGTCAAGTGTTCTTTTAATTCTATAACCAACATAACAGCAGTAGATCCAATACATTTCTATAGATTGATAATGCTTCATAATTTTGTTTCATACTTCCAACAAATGAATTTCTAATGCATTTCGTTTTGCATCATGTATAATGCTTCATAATTTTGTTTCATACTTCCAACAAATGAATTTCTAATGCATTTCGTTTTGCATCATGTATACAACAATATATACATAAAAAATGCATAATCATCTAGACACATGAAAATTCCCAAATTAGCAAACATTTGATTTAAAAAACAATGCAAATAAGCACATAAGTACAAAAAAACAAAAAAAAACAATTAACAGAAAAAAGAAGAGTGACCCATGTCAAAGTTTGGATTTTGAAGCAAGACCCATTAACAAAATTGAGGGAAAATGGAAAAATTTGGCAAAAGGCACGGAATTTAAAGATGTTACCTTGGCGAAGCAAGATCCCAGTTGATGTCTTTGAAGGGGGCGCGATTTTCTCCACCAAAATCCTGTTGAGCGCAGGAACCAAATGGGAAAAGAAAAAGTTGTTGAAAGAACCAATAATCAATAAGAATAGAAATATGCAGGATTAGCTTAGAAGAACTGATCTAACTGAGAAATGAAAAGATCTAGATTCAACTTACTTTCTAATCTCGCTCCAGCTGGCCTTCGATTATTGAAACCATCGTCGCTTGAGACTGCAGGAAATCGAGAATTAGGGCAAAATTAGAACAAAAGGAGAGAAATGAAGAACAAAAAGGGGAGAGGGTGAATTGAGAAAAACTAACTATTAGAGCTAGGGTTTTGTATAACGGAGTGAAGAAGAAGAAGAGACTTTCGTGACCCTAACCAATGCCAAAAATCTGAGAATTGATGAGATGATGGCAGAGGCGGTGCGTTTGATGATGCGGATGATAAAACTCATCTTTGGCATTTGCTGCCTTAAGATCGTGGGACGACGTTGGCAGAGGGAAGACACAACCGACAGTAAGTTTATGTCTTTTGATTTTTAATGATGATGATGAATTTTGTGTAGCGATTATAAGGGATAATTTTGGTATATTTACATTGGTTGAAGGGTAATTTGGGATAGATAAAGTTTTTCATGAACTCCCTCTTTTAAAGGGATAATAGATATATTTTCCTTTCACAATATCTCAAGCGCTTTTGTTATGTCAAACGTTCGGATCCTCTCCACTAACAAAAAAATAGTGGAATGATCACTACTTAATCACAACCATTGACTATGTAGTGGGTGTTATGATTTTTTTTTCTTTGGATGTAAATTATGTATTGAGTGCAATACACGGGGTACATTAAGTGTTAGATTTAGGATGTATTACAATCACACATTAGATAATCAATGGTTGAGAGGTCCATTACTTTTTTTTATAGTAGAGAGGATACAAATTCTTCCAATGCTACCTTCTTAATAAAGTTACGACCATTAAAAAAACCAGAATTTCTTTCCTTATACAATACATTGGATCCCTAGTCTTCTTTGAGATTTCTTTCCTTATATGCATGCTCTTCTTTTGGGATATTTCTTTCTTTATGTGAGTGTATAGTGAATGCCTCGCTTCCTTTTGAGGGATGTATTTTTATTACATAGTATTCGTGGATTAATTTTGTAATAGCTAAAGCCGCCAGCATTGTATACATTTAGATCATCGGTTGTAATCTTCGTATGTTGATGATTGGGATTGAAGAGATCCATATGTGTGCTCTATTAACACCACACCAATCAGTACACTTACTCTTTAATACAATAATCTTCTCCCTTAATTCCTCATATGAAAGTTTTGGTGCCAACTAATTTCTAGTAACATGTTTACAACCCATATAAATCAAAAGAATAAAAAATGTCAACCAAAGTCTTGCATTTAATATGTCCAATCTAATCTAACTAGTTAGCTAGCTTTTGTTCCATTCCAATTGACTAGGTTGTAGATGTGAGACGCATGATCTCTCATTCTCCAATTATATATTAATATTCGTATTTTCACCATATATTAGGTTAAATCCTCATTCCATTCACTCCTTTTAACTTAAAATTAAGACTTTTGCCCCTACGTAGAGCACAAACGAATCAATATAATGTAGTATCAAAGATCAATAGATCCTGAGGAGATATATGGATGAATTTATTTTTCTCTATAACTTGGAGAGATGGCATCAACCAGATTCAAGCTCATTTTTATTTTTCGGTGCTATATATGATTCAAGCTCATTTTTCCTTGGAAATAGAAAAGAGAGAAGAAATCCAAGAGCAAGTGAAGGGAAAGTACGTGGGAAACACTCCTCAAGTGTGAGTTTCATCCTTTTCCCCCTTATCTATTTATCTTGTCCTGTTCACGAATGCTTTTCATGCTTTGTAATAAAAATATCTAGAGAACTGACAGAAATCTCACTTATTAAAGTTTTGCCCACATACAAAGTGTGACATGCTACGTGTGGATATTTTGACACTTCACCTGAAGTAAGCCAATCTGTGATTGTGGCTTTATCATTTTGTCCGCCTCTTTCTTATCAAAATAAGCATTATACCATAAGGACAATTTCAAAAAGGAAACAAACTAATCAATTTTATTCATTTATTTTCTCAGATTTGAAAAGTTTACGTTCCTTACTAAACATATGACTACAAAAGCTTTCTTCAATGTCTTTTGCAAGCAGGTCACCTTCTGGTCATTTTATAGTGTTTTAACATTTTGAGTTGAAAATTTATGACGATGATATAATTTATAGTTATTTTCCACGTGAATTTCACTAAAGCCTTAATAAGTTCTGACAAATTTGTAATTGGGACGCCTAAAAAATTTGAAACTATAATTAAATCCTCAATAAGTTTGTACATTCGGTAAAATGTTCAAAATATTTTATTATTTTCACTAAGTCCTCCGTGACTACTTTATGATGTTTATGTAGAGACAAACATGGATGTGCAACCACCTCACAAAGAAAAGGCAAGGATTAATCATGGTTCAGCAAGATGCCTACGTCCGACGAGATCGATATTCAACTATTTATCAAGAGGTTACAATGAAGGCGGAGAAGATTAGAAACCCTAATCTCTCTCCCTTACAAAGCCAAAATAAATACCAATTTTTCTTGTCAAATGTATATAGAGAAACTCTAGGTAATCTTTATTTATAGCCTCCCTCAAATTCGAGTCCAACTAGCCAAACAACTCTCCAATCCGAATCCAAACATGAGTCCAACTAGCCAAACAACTCCCCTATCTGAATCCAAACATAACTTGAAAACACGTCCAAGTCATGTGGGACCTATCAGTGTGTTCAGACTCTGTAGTCGATAAAGAGTCTGACAATTTGTGGCTCAATATGAGCCACCGGTGGGTGGCTTTCAATAAAATCAACTTCACAAATTTCCACCTTGGCAAAATTGGTAAGCCACCAATAGTCTTCATCACCCAAGTAACATCTGATCTCTTCAACAACCATCGCCATCAAATTGCCCCGAAGGGCCTCAACACCGAAGAACATTGAAGTTGAGACAATGCTCAAACTTGACTGTTGGAACAACCTTTGTCAACATGTCCGTCGGGTTCTCCTTATTGTTAATCTTTGTCAGTCGAATCTTGCCACTCTCAATTATCACACGGATAAAATGAAATCGGACGTCAATATGCTTGGTGCGAGCATGATGGACTTGATTCTTCGCAAGATGAATTGCACTTTGACTATCACAGTGCACTTCAACAACCTCTTGAGATATACCCAAGTTACCAACCAAGCCACGTATCCACACCGCTTCCTTAATTGCCTCTGTTACCGCCACTCTACCTCTGTAGTAGACAATGCTACAGTAGACTATAACATAGACCTCCAACTGATTAGACCGCTGGCAAGAACAAAATAATACACCCTGGTGGACCGACGCCTGTCCAAATCACTCGCATAGTCCGAATCTATGAACCCTCTCACATGTGACTCTCCAGTCTTCGAATAAACCAAACCTACATCCAACGACCCTTGAAGATACCATAAAATACACTTGACAACCCGCCAGTGTTGCTTACCCGGATTTGTCATATACTAATTAACCAAGCTGACCACATGTGCAAGATCTGAAAGCTTGAAGTGAGGAGCCAACAGAGTGCTAACTTTCTTCGAATTTTGTACCCCAAAATGAGCCAACACCTTCTCCACATACCGCCTTTGAGAAAGGCACAACCTCCCCTTCTTCATATCTCGAACAATCTCCATCCTAAGTATCTTCTTCGTAGGACGTACCCAAGTCTTTCATCTCAAACACGGAACTCGACTTCTTCTCAGCTTGTTGACTTCCACCATACTATGTGAGGCAATAAGCATATCATCAACATAGAGCAACAAATAGATGAAAGAACCACCAATCTGCCTGAATTACACATAATGATCAAGCTCACTCTGTGTAAACTTCTACACTATCATAAATGTGTCAAACCTCTTATACCATTATCATGGTGAATGCTTTAATCCATACAATGATTTATTTAGTTTGCATACATGATCCTCCTTACCATCAACTGTAAATCCACTGGGTTGTGACATATAAATGTCCTCCTCCAAATCTCCATGCAAGAATACAATCTTGACATCTAATTGCTCGAGTTCCATGTTATACTGCGCAACCATCGCTAAAAGGGCCAGGATAGAGGTGTGCTTCACCACCGGAGAAAAAACTTTATTATAAACACCTTCTAGTTGTGCATACCATTTTACCACCAATCTTGCCTTGTATCATACACATGTACTTCCATCGGAACTTGGAAAACCATCCTTTACCACATAGACCCACTTGCACCCAATCAGTTTCTTCCCATTTGGTGCTTCCACCAAATCCCAAGTATGGTTTTTATGAAGGGACTCCATGTCCTCCCTTATAGCCGTCATCCACTCCTTGCTACGATCTCCTCTCATATCCTCATTATAGGTAACAGGCTCATATCCATACACAGATAAAGCATAGGCTGCCATATCCTCAAAATCGTAACGAACTGGTGTCTTCCCCACATTTGGTCTTCTCTCTCTATTACCTACCAATGATGGTTGTTGTTGTTGCTGAATAGACCCCTCATTCGGAACCTCCAATTCTACTATTGCCTCATCAGTAGACATCAGTGGAGTTGTGAATTCCACCTCCAAAAGATCTTCACCACTTCCACCCAACATGATTCCCTCCGAACTGGCGTTTCCACCCAAACTGGTGTTTCCATCTGAGATGATATCTCCCACATCTACACTCTTTGAGTTTAGCATGGCTGACTCATTGAATGTCATGTCCCAACTGATTACACATTTCTTCTACTCAGGACATCACAATCTGTATCCTTTCACACCACTTTGATAACCCAAAAAGATACCCTTTCGGGCTCTCACACCAATCTTATCTTCTTGAACGTGAAAATAAGCAGGGTAACCAAATATTTTCAAATGTCTGTAATCAAAAGGAGTACTAGACCATACTTCAATAGGTATCTTCGAATCAGTGGATGTATTAGGTGAATAATTCACAAGATAGCATGTCGTGTTCACTGCTTTAGCCCAAAAACACTTATCCAAACCAAAATTTGATAACATGGGTTGTGCTCTCTCTAGTAGGGTGCGATTCAAACGCTCCGCTACTCTATTCTGCTGAGGTGTTCGCACCATTGTGAAATGCCTGATAATGCCTTGCTTCCTGCAGTACTCTTCCAACGGATCAGAGGTGTACTCACCCACGTTATCTGACCAAATCCGCTTGACAACTCTGCCAGTCTGCTTCTCGACCATTGTCTTCCATCTAATAAACAAATCGGTGACTTCAAATTTATCCTTCATGGTGTACAACCAAACTCTCTGTGAGAAGTCATCGATAAATGTCACGAACCACCTAGCTCCACTCAAAAACTTAACTTTGCTTGAACCCCAAACATTCAAATGGATGTAATCCAACATACCCTTGGTGCGATGCTCTGCAGTTCCAAACTTTACCCTACACTGCTTCT